ATATATATATATATATATATATATATATATATATATATATATATATATATATATAGATGAAAAAATGATGTGGGTACTCAAATGAAAGCTCTTGATTAGTGTAACATCAGGATGAGCTTATATCTTTAAAAATGTCAATATTTCACTAGATAATAGGTCATTTTTTTTTAATTATGTATCTAGAGATAGAACATTTAAATACACTGGTCATAAAATTTCGCTTATTCTCTTAAAATTATAGATTATATTTGTATATCTATTTTAATTGTAAATTTTTTAATATGTATTGTAACCAAAATAAAGTTAAAGCAAAATAAACAATTATTATTATTATTATTTTCAGAAATATTAAAAAATTATCATATGTTTATATTTTTGTTAAAATATTTTTTATCAACTACAGAATTTAATTTTTTTATTGAAAAATTTTATTGCAGAATAACAAGACTATAAATCAAATACTTGAGAAGTATAATGATTAACTGACCTTGTTTTTTTTAAATAAATATAACAATATATATTTTTTTTAATATACTTTTCAATAATTTTTTATATTGAGTTTATTTTTAACTTGTAATTTAAAATAAACATTTAAACTTCGTAAAAGAGAGAAATTTTGATGAAATTAAAGTAATAATTATCGGTAATAAATGAATATTTATATTTTAGGTATCAGCAATTATTGATGTTGATATTTTGCCAGCGACATGCCGGCGAGTCAGATTACTAAAACACGGCTCGGATAAACCTTTAGGATTTTACATAAAAGACGGTGAAAGTGTGAGGGTACTACCTCCGTCAGCGGGCGGTGGATTTGAGAAAGTTCCAGGTGTCTTTATAAGTCGGCTGGTACCTGGAGGCCTCGCTGAGAGCACGGGTTTACTTGCTGTCAATGACGAGGTTCTGGAAGTTAATGGGATCGAGGTTGCTGGAAAAACCTTGGATCAAGTACGTGCTAAACTATTTATCTAATTAAATTTTTTATTGTGTTTAAAAATATAAATTAACTTTAAAATAAGTTAAAATATTTTTGAATTATAAAATTTATTTTTATTCAAATTAATATTAATATCTTAAAAAGAAATATTTTACATATTTAATTCAAAGAATTAAATCCAAAATTTTATAGAAAATTTAATTAAAAAATTCAATTTTACCCACATGCATTTTTGATATATTTTTCATATATACATATATATAATATATATATTTTAAAGATATAAGCTCACTCTGACGTTACACTCATTAAGAGCTTTCATTTCAGTACCCACATTCATTTTTGATATATTTTTCATACATACATATATATAATATATATAAATATATGAAAAATTGATGTGGGTATTCAAATGAAAGGTCTTGATGAGTGTAATGTCAAGATGAGCTTATATCTATAAAAATGTCAATAGTTTACAAGATATAAGGTCATTTCTTAATTAATGACATTTTTTAAGATATAAACTCATTCTGATGTTACCATCATCGAGACCTTTCATTTAAGTACCCACATGGTATTTTTTATATATTTTATATATATATGGTATTTGTGAAATATATAAATATATGAAATATATGAAAAATTGATGTAGGTACTCAAATGAAAGGTCTCGATGAGTGTAACATCAATATGAGCTTATATCTTTAAAAATGTTAATAGTTCACAAGATACAAGGTCATTTTTTAATTATTGACATTCTTTAAGATATAAGCTCATTCCGATGCTACACTCATCAAGAGCTTTCATTTGAGTATCCACATGCATTTTCATATATTTTTCATATATACATATATATAATATATATAAATATATAAAATATATGAAAATTGATGTGGGTACTCAAATGAAAGGTCTCGATGAGTGTAATATCAGGATGACCTTATATCTTTAAAAATATCAAGAGTTCACAAGATACAAGGTCATTTCTTAATTATTGACATTTTTTAAGATATAAGATCATCCCGATGTTACCCTCATCGAGACCTTTCATTTAAGTACCTACTTGTCTTTTATATATATCTTTTATATATACATATACATAATATATATAAATATATAAAATATATGAAAAATTGATGTGGGTACTCAAATGAAAGGTCTTGACGAGTGTAACATCGTGATGAGCTTATATCTTAAAAAATGTCAATAGTTCACGAGATACAAGGTAATTTTATCAAAATAATTTTTAAAAATTCAAGGTAACAGATATGATGATTGCAAATTCATCAAACCTGATAATAACAGTGAAGCCAGCGAACCAACGCGCAGCAATGGCTGCGCCAAGACGTGGATCTTTCTCCCGTAATAGCCAATTATCATCAGGCAGTCATCAGTCGACTCAGAGCATCGTGACCGGAAGTGCCAGCGACGAGGAAGCTGACGAAATAGTAGATCTGACCGGGGTCGCGCTCCATGACGACATACCGACCTCTTCTCACCATCACCACCATCATCATCACCATCACCACCAGCATCATCAGCCTCACAATCATTTTAATGACCAGCCGGGTGTCTTACACCTGTGAGGCCACCGAGGAACAATCAATGGACAATTAATAAGCCTTTCCAAGTGCCTCGAACATATTTTTACCTAGATATTATTATACATAGATATATACTGATGACTACTGATTATTTAGTAATGACTAATGACTAATAACTACTGACTAATGACTAATCTTATGACAATGAGGAATCAGTAATGAGTAAATGTCCAGCTTGAGATAATTGTCAATCCTCAAAGCAATAATGACTCATTTTTTTTATTATTTATGTGGCAGCGTAACCAGAGTATTAATGGTACTTAATATAACTGGAGTATATTTAATAATAATAAGTAAAGTGTACTTACTGTTGATCTAAAGATTATTTCGCGTGATAAATGCCAAAAGGGTGAAGATAAAAATTAATGTTTTAATATAGAACATTAATAAAAAAATTTTACGTAATTCTAATTTTTATGACAATTTTTTATTATCAATCTAAAGAAAAAATTTTACGGCAGCATAATTATAATTTTAATGACAATTTTTTTAATATTTAAAGTATCAATTTTTTATTAAAATTCATTAATTAACTTGAAAATTAATATTAATATCAATCAATTTTTTTAATTGTAAAAAATATGTCTAAAATTGATTTTTTTGTCGAAATTTTTACAAAAATTTATTATTTTTATAATTTAATGACATTAAAGTTAGAAATCACTTGACAATTTTTATTAAATTCATTAAAATGACTTTTCTTTTTTTTGCTAAAAAAAAATGTTTTATAAGATAATGACTTTTGTTAAATTGCACTGTACTTTCTTAACCATTAACTTTTTTAAAGATATAAGCTTACCCCGATGTTACACTCATCGAGACCTTCCATTTGAATACCCACATGCATTTTTGATATATTTTTCATATATATAATATATAAATTTATGAAAAATTGATGTGAGTACTCAAATGAAAGGTCTTGATGAATGTAACATCAGGATGAGCTTATATCTTTAAAAATGGCAATAATTAAAAAATGACCTTTTATCTTGTCAACTATTGACACTTTTAAAGATTTAAGCTCATCCCGAAGTTACACTCATCAAGACCTTTCATTTGAGTACCCACTTGAATTTTTCATATATTT